CATAGGTGTGGGTTAAGTTTTGTGACTCAGGCTGAAAGGCTTGCCTCTGCGGGCTTCCCTTCGGCGGTTGTGGTGGGTGTTACTGAGTCCCTTGTTAGGATGTTTAGGGGGCACACTAGTCCTGGGAAAAAACAAAGGCCATCCACCAGACCTGTCGTACTCCCGTATATCCATGCCTTGTCCCACCGCCGGTAGGTTTGAGGTGCCTGTCGTCTTTTCGGTGCCATCTAAGCTGTCACACCTTTGTGCTGCTGTGAGTAGAGAAGGACACCCTTCCGTTCTGTGCGACGTCAAACATCGCTCCCCTTATGTCGCTTGTGCAAGCGGGGTCGTGTTCCAGATCCCCCTGTCCTGCGACAGGGTGTATGTTGGTCAGACTGGGCGTTGTAAAAACGTAAGGGCAAGGGAACATTCGCTTTCTTTGCGTTCCTCGCCCTCAGGGAACCTAGCGGTCCATTGTGATACGTGTGGCTGCACGCCGTCATTTCATGATATAAAGATTTTGTCTCGTCACAAAAACAAGACTGCGAGGGAGATAGACGAAACGCGTTTTATGGCGTCTATCGGAGCTGACACGTGTGTGAGCGCTCCCTGTATTGCCCTTGCAAATGACAAGGTAGATTTTGTAAGAAAGTGTGGCAGGTTCCTGTGACGGCGCGTGGGCGGGGGTGATGCCGTATGTCATTGGTTTGATTTGTTTGTTCCCTCCCCTTCCTCCTTTCTGTGTTCATTTCTCTTTTTGCACAACAATAAACTTTCAATTGTAAGTCAGCGCCCTGTCTGTGTGTTTCTTCGACCTCGTACTACGTTTTTTTTGCGCTGTTCCCACCAAACAAAAACAACATTTGTTTGTTTTAAATTTTTTTTTTTTGTCTCTTCCTGCGCTCAGTGGTGTATGTTTTAGCAATAGACGCTTGGATTGTTAAACAAATTGTTGTTGTTTGGGGGTTTTATGGTGCAAGAGGTACGGAGGCCATACTGCACCAAACTGTACGATAAGTAACGAACGTCCTCACTGGAGAGCAAGTGCAAGAGCGCGATTGCTGTATGAGCATTCGAGCACACTCTGGCTCCGCGAGTAGTGTGACGCACGCTTAGGATTCCGGGCTGTGATCAGATTGTGCCGGCAAAACGTGTTAAGCCCGATTCACATGGTGCGATTCCGCTTCCGATTTCGCAACTGCGACGCCAAACACTGCAACTTACGCCATTCTTTTTTTTTTTTTTTCTGCCGCACGAGCGACGTTGCCTTTGCGGCTTTACCTGTTAAGTAACGGTTTCCTTTCGAAAATCCCTCCTCGGGCGTCGCTCAAAGCTATGCAGGCGCATTCTTCACCCTACCCATGAAATGTCAGGAAAGGTAAAGCGGGCGAGGACCGAGGGGGTTCCGCTCTTTATACTGCAGCCCCGATGACAATCGCATTTACCCTGAGAAGAATGGATTGTTGGGCGAGGTGGTGGACGTTCGTCGTGGAAACAGCGCGAAAGTACGGGGACGTATGTTTCTCCTACGTCCTCGTGTTTTCGGGCCGTTTCTACGATCCAATTTAGAGAAGTCGTCCGCTTTTATCTCCAACGTCGTGCAAGCGACCCTTTACCAGTTAAGCGTGCGCAAACACCCGGCGTAAGTTATCATTGTATTGCAGAAAAAAAAAATCAATAATTAACCTCCCTATGTGTCTACCTTAGTGTCCCCAAAATCTTGGAGGAAGATTATTCCATTCGAACATTTTCTCTGGCAGGTATTCGTTGGTTTCCAGACGGCTCCAGTGTCCCCGTTGCGTGCAGTCACGCGGACTATCAGTCCCGTTAAGACGTCGGCCACTTAACAGGCCATATCTTGACGCAGAACGCGCGCTCGAATGCTAATCCGCGCCTGGACCCCATTCAAAAGAAAGAACCAAGCACGAAGTCAGTCTGCACAGCCGCACAAATGGCTCCACGAAGCGGATCCACACACGACCTTGAAAAACGGGTCGACCGTGATCGAGCCCATGAATTCGAAATGGGCCGCCTTGATCTTACACAAGTTCGCATAACCAAAATAAATAAAAAAAAAATAAAAAAGAATAAAGGCGATATGGCGAGAAGGAGATGGTATTGTCCTGCATGTCACACGCAGACGCCGCGCGCGCTCAAACCAGGTACAAAAGTCCGAAATCATCGCTAAAGCTCGCCAACAATGGGGAGTTTGAGTCGACCGTTATTGCATTCCGATAACGACACACGATGATACCCGGGCGCACAATAGGCGATGCTGCGAGCGCAATGGTGGCTGCGCAGTATTGCGGGTACGGGTATCAGATTGCAGGGACGATCTACTCGAACTCCCTAATGATTTCCAAGCTCTCGCCGTGCCTGTACTAGAGATGTCTCTCAAATGTATCTGCAACAATTAATAAAAAATAAATAAAAAGAAAAAAAAAAAAAAAAAAAACGTCGAGGGCGTTTTTGTGGGAGCAAAGGTTTGCACGACGTACAAACGGGGCGGAAGCAAGATGGCTCAATCAAAGTTCGGGCTGGAGCCGTAACGCAGACAGCTATGCGGGCGAGTCGGGGGTCAAGGCGGGGAGGAAGGTTGGAACGGTCATTGTCAGTATTCTCTATTGTAGAAATGTGACAGTCTGTTCCAAGGGTTAGCATGTCGGAGGGTACCCTATGCGGCATCTTGGCTTTCTGCAGCTGACGCTCCATTCAGTCAGCTCGTTTTTCCGCCCACAGTACAACACGAAGGCATATAGGTCAAAGATGGCACCATGTTTTATACCACCAACAGAAAAGAAGAACATGCATGAGAGCTTCTGGGAGATACAATGCTCCCATTCTCCTGACCTTAGAAACGTTGAGCGCCAAGAAGACGATTGAGATGGAAAGAAAAGAAAACAAGACAAGGATAGTCTGGCGGAGGCCACACTATCCTTATCATTTTTTTTTTTCGAGCAACGAGGAAAAGCCGGCAACATTTACCGTGTAAAACTACGCTTACGTTTATTTCTTCTCGTGTATGTGTGTAGGAATTGGGGGGCAAAACCAACAATAATAACAGGCAAAAAAAAAAAAAGTGTCCCGGGTGCGCCCCACCAACCTCAGTTATTGCCGCGTCACAGGCATCAGGGAATTCCACTTGATATTTAAATCACGGGGCGCGTCTTTAGGCTAGTCAGAGTAGAGTACCCGCCCATTAGAGGGTACAGCAATCGATCAATAGCTGTGCCCTGTAACAATGCCTTATTTCACTAGTTTAGATCTGGTAAGGTACTTACTTGTCAATGAAATAATCAGAAAGTATTGCGCTACCATTTCTGCAGACAAGGTTATGCTTATATTTACGTGGTTATGGTCAAACGTATTTTCAAGTTATTGTTTCTAAACTTCACCTTCACTTATCCGTGTGCATTTCATTAAGTTATTTCTTTATTTCAGTATGCTTGCCACGGACCATTTGCAGGAACCGGAAACTCGTCAAATACGTCGTCGCAGGTTTTGTTTTAGGTTACGCCATTGAAGATTGATGGAAAGAAAGTTATTTATTATTTTTATTATTACAACATACTATGATAGATGATAGATCAAAAGACTATTCGTCAAGCAGGCAATTCGAAAAATAAAATTTATTAAGAACACTGTCGAGAGAAGTCCTCAATTTATATCGTGACACGGTAGATATAAATTACACGGCAGCATTAACAACGCGACACCTGATACAACGACTCAAATTTCACGGTAAGCAATAAAAATACGTCTGTGTTTATCCGGCACGGGGCTGTCTGGAACTAGTGCATGTGTTTACATCCCACAAAGTCTCGGCGCAACTACCCAAGTACCGCAACATCCGAGTTCCTTTTGTCGGACGTAGAAAAAGCGACAATAGGAAAACCTCGGGTTCCTGCAGGAAGCGTGCCGCTCAAAAGCAAAAACTCCCATGTTGACGACCCGACTCCAGGAAAACACACCGATGTGACAAGCACACGCGCGCACACACACACACACACAAAAGGAACTTCCTCGCTGCTGGTAATGACGAATGCTTCCCGGCAGGTAAACAGCACAACGGCGGCGAAGTGGGAGGCTCAAATAACCCCGCTAACGTCGCGGCGCCCGCGAAAGCTCGAGGTCGCAGCAGGCAACTGGTAGCACGCGCAACGAACGGGAAACCGATGTTCGGACGGTCCCACCCGCTCGCGCCCGCGTCATTTCACACACTGCAGTCGTCGTTACCGCCGCAGCAAAGATCGTTCAGGTCAGCCGCAAAGGCAGGGAGGAATCGGCAGAGGCCAGTCGCGCGAAGGCCAAGTTACGTTGAGGCTGCGTTGCATCACGGTCAGTACGCTGCCGACGTCCTTGTGAAACGACAGGTATTGGGACATAACTGGCCGCGTTTTTATGTTTCTTCTTGTTTTAGTTTTATGTACGTTCTTTGCTTGAGGAAGACGCCCCAACTTCCAAGGCGGCAAAGAATGCAACGTCGTCCGCTAATCTGCCCAGCGCCTTGGCATAAACAACCGGAGCCGAAACTCGAAAGCGGAAACCGACACGGCTGACAGTACCCAGTTATCGCGAACGGGTGTAGCGGCGAGCGAGCGCAGGGGCCGTTGGAAAACACAGCGACGGATCGACGCGTACGGTGGTGCGAAGAAGCACGCCCTAAGCACCCCAGGGAAGGTTCCAATAGGTACCGGCGCTAGCGCGGAAGAAGCTGCGGGTCTCCGGCGTACGAGCGAGTAGGCGTTCCTCGAAGAAAAACAAAGATAGACAAAAATACACGGGACGGTTCGGCCGGCCGCTGCTTCCAAGACGGGCTGCTAAAAATTGCTCGAAATGCGAGCGACGCAGAGTCCCGCTTCACATTAGCCCCGCTACCGCCGCCGAAAATTCAGGAAACACAACTGGAAGAGAGGTCAAGGACCGCCGAATCAGGTGTTCCGTCGCAGGTGCGGACGGCGTTCCGTCAACTGTCCAAACCGAAAACATCCACCTCCCAGGAACGTGCGGCGACTTACCTTTGTTTTTGTGATGACGTGGGTTGCTAGGCGTACCACGGCGAAGTTTCCTTTTCCAATTGTTTTTCCTAGTTCGTAAAATCCGACTCGAACGAGCCCCGCACACCCCGACGTCTTTACCCTGTCAGCCGCCATGTTGTGGCGGGACTCACGCATGCGCCCGAAGCCTACTCTCGCTGCCGGGCGTTCGAAGATCTTCCCCATTCAAGCTCCCTCGTAATCCCGTGGCACGTCGGTAGATGTAGGCAGTCACTTTTGCGGCGTTCCTCGTAGCACAAATCCGAGCCGGCTTTCATCCTGGGGGCCGTCGACTCGCCGCACCGCCAAAGAGCCTCCCGAGCGCGACAGTAGCAGACGCATTTGCCTGCGTTCGAGGCTAGCGAAAGAGCAGAGGGCCGGCGGAAACACGGGGAGAGGAGAACACCTCGGCGCACGTCACGATGACGTCGATGACGTCGCCGCAAACTGGGCGGTTGGGTGCCGGTGGCGAAGCGGCGGTGAAGTGAAACTTTTGAGAGTCGCACACGTGATAACAGACGTTTCGGTGCGGCTCAAAAATACGCTACCCGCACGGTCTCCGATCTGGATCAGGCAAACATGGTGCATCTGTTTCTCGACGGGTTGCACACGGGTATGGGGTAGCGCGCTGACTAGAAGCACGGAGGTTCCGAAGCGGAGCGCGGAGTCGGGGCGAGGGCCGACGCTGACTTGCGCTGACGCTCTCGCCAAGACCTTGAAAGATGCGCGAATGACGTCAACGGGCGTCAGGTCGCCACGGCAACGCAGCCGCCACGCCGCCGCCGCCGCCGATGCCCTCGTTCAGCTGTGTCTGTATCGGAAGTGTGCGGGTTTTTCAGAATCGCGCTGCTGCAGCTGGCTGGCTTGCCGTCTGTTTTGAACCCTGCTCGTGGCGAGGTCATAGACGTTGGGGCAAAACGGAAGGTGACTGAAAACAGACTAGAAAATCAAGCGCGCGTGAATCGCGATTCGCGGCATTCTCGCGAATCGCAATGCCGGTGGCTCTTCTAATCACCATTCGGCGCGCTTGATTGGCTGCGTCGCAACCGACAACACTCGCTCAGGGACTTTGGCATTTGAACGCCCGATCCGTCCGGAAGCCGTGCGCTGTGCTCGTGTATTTGTATCCGGTGAGGCAAGGTCGCCGTGGCAGCAGAGCTAATTCTTGGATATCCTTATTGGGGGGGGGGGGGGGGGGGGGGGGGGGGGGTGTAACCGATTTTGAATATTTGGTTCGCTGATTGGTCCAAGAATGTTAAGATCCTGCTCACCTGTAATGCAATCACTCCCAGCCTGAGAAACGCAGCACGTCGTTCATTATCATCCCGTTTCCATGCCTCGTGATGTTTTTCGGCGTTTTTACTCGACCAGTGCCACAATTTCCTTGGCTTCGAGGCGGCGATAATAAGCTACTCGAGACTCGCTACGCCTGGTGTTTCTGAAGTTGACGGGCTATGAGTTTACGGACGCAATATTAATCGCGTGCACCATGTATAAAAAAAAATAATAAACAAAAGATTACCGTTTAAGACAGACCACGAAAATGGGAGACTAGTACGCCACAGGCTGAAATTTCTCTCGAATCTGTACCTTTCTTGGTCAAATCCGGAGCGTAAGTTCGTCTGCTTCTTTTGCAGGGGTTCTGGTGACGTCAGAACGCCGATCTCTGATTGGCTCTGGTTGAAAGGATAGTGGGTAGACCTCAAAGCGAGCTGCCTTGAGGTCTACCCACTATCCTTCAATGAGAGCCAATCAGAGCTCGGCATTCTGACGTCACCAGAATTCCCGCAAAAAAAGCAGACGAACTTGAGCTTGACATAATCGTCATTCGTCAACTCACTCGGTCAAAATCTAAAAACAGGTATCGAGATGGTTGCCGACAATTACAAACGGAAACTTCCATTATTCCTTATATACTTCCGAAACTTGAACCACCTATCTATACAAATAAAATAAACGAATGAATCTACGGGTGTATAAACACTGTCATTTCTCGGCACGTACAAAAAAAAGAAAGTTATTGTTTGATCTACTTTTCTCGACTGCCGTCTGAGACAAAATATATCGAGTTTTTTTTTTAATGTTGAGCTATAGCTGATATTTCACCTTAGCGTGACAATCGAACAAAATGAGCCGGCTTTCTGCGCCCAGTCGGCGATTATACGGCGGAACAGTAAACCTCCATGATAAGAAAATGACACGTGCAGTGGCGAAAATCCGACGAGAACACATGCTGCAAAGTTGAAATTTTACGTTGGTACGGACTGTTTACAGGTGCGGACTGTACAACAATTTGTTTTTCTAGATCGTTCATTACGGCGAGACGAGACGAATTGTGTGAATAACAGAGTATACTAAAAATGAGTGAAGTATGAGCTTCTTTTTAAGTTAGTAAAGCAGGTGTTTCTGAAGGTGTGTTGTGTCTGAAAAGGTTTTACGAGCGGACCAGGCGCCAGATATGGCTTATGCACTGGATGCGGGATATGCACCGGGTGTCGACTATCTAAAAAAAAAAAAACAGAATTCAACGAAAATGTTCCTCCGCATGCGGACTGCGGTATTAATTCCGATATTTTTTTCCAGAAATGGCCGATCTGCACGTCGCGTATTGTTTCGTAGTCTGAAAAAAAGAAAAAAAAAATGATCGAAAGCTTTTTAGTTTTTATTTTAGCAATTATGCTTTTAAACCAGTTGAATAAACCTGAGACTGGGGCTGATATGAACATACAGGTCGAAGGTTGACTCTATGTGTTGGTGGTGGCTGATTGTGGGCTATATAAGAAGGCAGACTAAATAAACCTGGTTGCTGAGTTTAAGACGTCGTCCTGTCCTTTTTTGTTCCTCCAACTTATATGTTCATTTCTGCCCCAGTCACAAATTTATTCAACATGGCTAACATTCACCAGCTCGCCTGCACCCTTACTATATGAACGCTTTTAAACGTTGCAGCGAAGTCTCGACAACTGGACAAAAATTTGACTAAGATAACAAACGGTATCCATTCTTCTTCGTCCTTGCGTACACGCTGGGAGCGGCTGTAAGGCGAGCCAAATAGAAACTCTAAAGTCCAGAACAAACCAAGAAGAAGAAAAAAAAAAAAAAAGAAAAAGGGGGGGGGGGGGCAAGCGAAAGAGTACAAATTTTTCGCCTACTCTCTCACTCACTCTTTCTTTCTTCTATTTTTTTTTATTATTATTTATTTTTGCTCTAGCTAGGTTAGCCGAGCAGATTCCACCTTCTCCAAAAATATTTATCTGTTGCCCGAATCACACCTTTGTGTTTTTAAATGCAGAGGTGGATGACTTCGGGCACAATATTGAAACGGAAATAATGCACCCCAAAGCCAAGCGTCATCGTGTCGCATTCAAATACCTTTACTCGTCTTCACCTAAAAAAAGTTTTGCACATTTCCTACATGCGAGGCGTTTAGCATTTCAAACGTGAACGTCTGGATAAGGTAACATACATATAATCTAAAAAGCACCTACATATATCTTAATAATCCACACAAAGGGAGAAATTAGTAATGCTCCGCGAGGAAATGGACTTTTTTTACTACGGTTCTTGGGGTAAAAACGAGTACAGTGTATACACAAAGTATGAGAAAGGAACTGCAACAAGGTGGAAAGTTGGGCGAGTTGGTTGATGGTCATATTGAATGGGTTAAAACATGGGTTAAATGGGTTAAAACAGCGCTGTGTCAGTGTGTTTCCTTTTACTGGTCCTTCGTCTTTTTTGCGCTGTTTTAACCCATTCAATATGACAAAGTATGAAACGAAAAGCCTCTTTGCCGCCCAATTTAATTGCAGCGATTTTGTTTTTATATTTACACCGTTTCGCAACTGGGCAGAAAATGTCGGCACTTCGAAACATCTCTCGTTCCAATCCCCACAAAAAAAAAAAAAGAAAAAAAAAGAAAAAGGGGGGACGAAAGTCCCGAATTAAATATTTTCAAAGCTTGATATGGGAACCCTAAAAGGGGTATTGCTTTCTCGTGTTAGCCGTTGGTCGCAATCTAGGAGGGAGCGAGGGCTCCCTTTTTCTCTACGTTCCCTCCTACCGTGTCCCCAACACGAGCAAGCCTCAGCAATCAACTCCCTCAAGTGCTACCGCACCTTCATTGCCTTTGACCAAATGTCTAAACCAGAAAAACAAAACCTTATTTTTATACTCAAAAAGAACGGCAGTTTATTACATCGTTTGTTATATAACAAAAAGAAAAACAAAGTGTGCCTGGAAACGTCTCTTTGTACACCACTCCTTCTACAATGCGTCTCAGCACCACGTGTTGCAGGAAGAATCGTCCAAGCGGGGTCAGTTTTCCGTCCCGCTTTGGAAGCGGCGCATGATGTTCCTCAGGACAAGCTTTTCTCACTTCATCGACACGAAAGCTGACGCGGGATCCTTCAGAAACTGGATGATATCGGGCATCATTTCTAGCTCCGAAGAAACGTAGTAGCACAACACACGGCGCATCTACCTGTACCCGGCGGTCCTTCCTTCGTTCGCTTCTCCGCAGTATAGCGCTGTGAGGTGGCGAAGCACCCTTGCCAGGTCGGTTGTAAAGCGCGAGCGTATTATGTACGGGCAACAATGTTGCTATTCACGTCAAATGTTCTTTTATGTTACTTTTTGTTTTTAGTGGGGTATTTATGTGTGTGTGTGTTTGTTTGTTTTTGTGCCTGCGTGTGTTTGTTCGTTTGTTTTTCGGGAACGGGGGTTAGACTGTTATAACTGGGTTATCGCCCATTTATGTTAATATTTTATATTAATTCATTTATTTAGTCAGCGGAACCGCATCCTTTTTCTCCGCTGCTAAGTTAAAAAAAAAATTAGCATTTTTTTATTTGAGCCAATCTGGTCTTTTTTCTGTGGCTTTTTTTTTCGAACTACACAATTTAATTGAGCCGACAAATAGCGTCATATTTTTGTTTTCTACGTGAAATTAAAAAAAGTATTTTGTTGACAAAAAATATTAATTGTGCATTTTTATTTACCAACAAATATTCAGTATTCACTTAAAAAAAGTTTAAAATATCTTCCAAGAAAACCATGATTTCTTCAAAAAGTACACTTAAAATGAACTGAATCTTTTATTTGTAAGCTACCTAAATTGAAAACTTCCTGGAAAGAACCTGAAATAAGCCGTCAGTAGGTACAGTCACACGAACAAGACTGCTGACTGGGCGAGTTGGTAGTTCGTGTCGAATAACGTAACAGCGTACAACAGCGCACAACAGCGCACATCGAAGGACACATTGACAAGTGTGTCAGCAGGCCATCTTTAACTCTCTCACAAAGGGAGCGGGAGTATTTAACCAAAAGTTATCCTTGGCACCAGCAGTGAGAAATCTTTATTATTCTTCACTTTTTAATTTGTAATATTTATTTTTAAATAATTCCTAAATTTTATTGGGTTTTCAGTTTTATTTTTGTCAAAAAAAGTCAAATTGGACGTTTTAGTGATTTATACAGCGTAAGGTTGGTCTGCCAGTAGGGGCGACACTGGTTTACACTGTAGATGAGCAATTTAGCCAGTGCGGTACAACCGCTAGCCTGGGGTCTTTAACGTGCGCCACGCAGTAGTGATACAGGACCGCACGCCGGTACGATGCTCCTCCAGATCGAAACGGGCAGGGGTGGGGCTCGAACCCAGGATCCCTGGGTTCTGCAGCGCGAGCTTTCGCTCCACGCGCGTCGAGCTGGGTGTGCGCTTCAGCCCACTCGACCACCGATCCCCTTTTTTTTTTTTTTTTCGTTTTTTGTTGTAATCTGCATTTGAGGTTGTCATCTCTTTCTTAGGACATACAAAAAGAGGAGGTGGGTCTTTTTGCATAGGAGAAGAAGACAATACAAATCCAAGAGTTGTGAGTCAGCGCCGAGTGAGTGTATATTTTTTGGTGTGTCTGAGTTTGCGAGTGTATCTCTTGTTGGTGCGCTGTTACGTTAGTCACACGAACAGTAGTAGAAAAAAAATGCCTATTACAGACATTAGTAGTGCCTACTAGCGCGTGTAATCGTACGACGCGTGCTTGATTACTTCTGGTTTCGCCTTCTTTCTATAAAATAAACAAATAAACGTAGCATAGCAGAGGAAAAGTAAACACAACGAAAAAGAGCGCGGTTGCTTTGCGT